ACACCAACTGAGACAAGAGGGGCTCTCGCCCCAAGACTAGCAGCTCCTGCTAAGGCCACGAAACGGCTCAGCATCGGACAGGAGCAGGTAAGTGGCAGGACAGGCAAGACCTGCTTTGTTGTTAGCCACCCCAGCCACCCCCTGTGGCAGTGACCGGGCAACGGGGACACGGGGAATACAGGCTGTGGTGAAGCTCCGTGGGCGTAACAGCTCTGCAGGGCAAACACACCTGGGACCTGGGGAGACACCGTCCTGAAGGAGGGCAGCTCCTGCTGGTGCAAAGCGATCTGAGTTCCCCCCAGCCTCAGCCACGGGGAAAGGAGGACTGACTTTGATTATGCCATAAACATAGATACGGAAACTGGCAGGTGAGGGAGCTGGAGATAGTTCTTTGTTTGGACATATTGGATCCATTTCAGCCCTGTATAATTCCACTAGTGTCAAAGGCATTACATCAGGGATAAAACCAACCCATTATTTTTAACCTGGCCATTTCCTTTTATGCCCTTCATTCAGGAAATCCCTATGCAAGTGCATGATTTTAGTCATGTGAATATTCTCACTGGAGGCAGTGTGACTGCTCATGTACTTAGAGTTAAGCGCACGCATATGTACACGCGGGACTGGGGCCTAAAACAGCACTGGGGGAAAAGGAGAAAGAAAAGTAGTGTGAGAATACCTGAAGAACAATGTACTGTGAGGGTCTGTGAAAGGTGTCTGCCCACTTGGGTGACAGTAATATTTCCGGCTATGTTTCCCCTTTTAAGCTTGACAATTTCTCTGACACCAGCAGCATCTTTAGGACAGCATTTTAAGGTACGACTGCTGTAAAGCGGGGGCAGTGGTGTGGAGAACAAAATACCCAAAATGCTCCTAAAGTATTTCAAAAAAATTTTAACGAAGAAGCTAGTTATGCAAATGTCCTTTGGGGACTGCAATCTATGTCTGTGACTTTCACAACCTTGCCCTGATTCCCTCTCCTGCGCTTGCAGGGAACACCCTAGGGGTCTTCACAGGAAGCCTCAACATACGTGGTTTTCTGCATTGCTTCTAGCTTCACGTTTCTGTTCCTCAAAAAATACACAAGCTAAATCATGACTTCCAAACACCAAGCGTTATGATCTCTAACCAGTGCCATACACCAGCAACGCTCCACAGAAATCTTCTGAACAGCGACTCTCATATATCTTGCAGCAATCTAGAAGACAGACCAGGAAAACATCAACCAAAGAAATTTGGTTGATGAATCTCTGTTCAGTTTCTGTGCTACACCCAGACCATTTTAAAAAGCCCCATTTGCAAAAGCACTGCTTCCACCACTTTACGAAGACCTTTTTCAAAAGGCTGCGTGCACGTCTGGCTGCAAAATGAAATGCAATGACAAATCTTGACCTATCAGGTTTAAGCCTTCAACATGTGATCTGAACAAGGGTGACTTTCACAGATACCATACCGCAAGGTAAGTGATTCAATGAAGTTCCTGAAATCAGCGGAGTTACTCTGGTTTGCAGCAGAGTAAATGAGATCAGGTTTGTCACAGTAAATGAATCCATAAAGAAGGTGCTCACATACATTGCAAAACAGGCTAAAGAACAAGTCAGAGGACTTGCTGAATTAATTTGTCATTACTATGGGGTAAGAGCTACTAGAAATAGTTGTGTCTATGACTCCTAGAACAGTCTTTAATTTCTCATGCTCAGCCAAATGAGGGAAAACACCATCTTTATTTTATCAAGTGCCATGCCCACCGAACTTCCCCTTACTTGCATGTGGACCGTTTAAATTTGCTAAGAAAACAACCAGCTTAGTTTCATCCCAGCTTTCTGTTTCAGGTTTATGTATTCGCCATTCAAATGAGACAGGCAAATCCATGACATTCATTTCACAGGACATTGAGCAAATGGAATGTGGAATAATGTTCTTTAGTTTCTGACATATGATCAAATGCACATTTGCTGCAAGGAAAGAGAAGGACATATGCAACAGCCTGGAAATGGATAAAAACCTTGCCACAATAACCATAGTTAATACACAAATAAAGTTATATTATTAGTATTGGCTTCCCTCTTGTGGTAATGAGTAAGCTGTAGCCCTAATACGTAACCAGAATCTGCTGAGGCATCTGTCTAACACAAAATGCTGCAATATGCACATCGGGCAAGATCCTTGCGTCCACGCACAAGATGGCTAATTTCAGTTCAAGGCAGATACGAAGATCTACATGCGGCGAGTGGAGGGCAGGCTGGGGTCTCAGCTCTGCAGAAATACCTCTGACCTGAGTATTTCAGAGACCTACCCTGCTATGACTCAGGCCAGTATCTGGCCCAAGTTTAAACTGAAGGAAGAGAGGTCTTCCACTTGAAGGTGCACTTTCAGTCCTGGCTGAGAGGGTGGTTCATGTTCTAGACGCGTTCAGTCAATGATTTCTGCTGATTCTGCCAGTTTAGTGGGCATTTCTGTGACAGACCTCAAGAATATAGACCAACACCTCTCATTCATTACGTACGTTGCCATTCTGACTCCAGAGGTGAGTCTAGGTTAACATCCCATTTTCCATGGCAGTGATGGAGCAGGCATGATGGTCCTCCTCTTCTTTATTTTCTCCATAGCCACTTGCACGTTATCATAATTTGACTGACATTTGTGAATTTACAATTTATGTTTTTTAACAGCAGCATGTGTGAGAAGGTATCATTGCTATTAATAAAGTGCGTTTCATCAACAGAATTTAAAGCTGTTTATAAAGGATGTTGGTCTCATTCTTGCTTTTTTACAGATGGGGGAACTGAGGCGCAGAATAATTAGAAGCCAATCAGCAGGTCCAACGCAGAGCTGAAAATAGATCCCAAATCTCCTGAGCCTCAGTGCAATGCTCTAACTGCTCCTCTGCCAATGTGTGAAATGGTAAAGCTCAGCTATTAGTACTACCTACACTAACGCATGTCTATTATTCACATATTTTCCCAAACCGGTTCTTTTTACCATTGATATTTCATGGACAACCTCTAAAACAGACAAATGTCCAAGTGAGCCCACACCACCTTTTCTAGTATAAAGCCTTGGAGATAAGTGCTTATTTCACCAACCTATAAAAATCATATCATAGCTCACCCTTAAATTAATTTTTCAGGCTTCCTAGGGTATCTTAAAAGAGTGTAGATTTTTTTAAGTCTACACTTTTTTTAAGTGTAGATATTTTGCCAAGGAAGCTACAAGCACCTAGTTGTGGTTTTCTTCACCTTTCACAAAATTACTATGGTAGCATGGAAAATAAACTAGAACACCATGAGCACCCCAGAAGCATCACATGCACAATAAAATCATAATGATTAATCATTTTATCATAAAACAATGCTAGATTGAGACCTCCCTTGGAGGGCAGAAAAATGTAGGCATAGGTGCTTGGTTTTGCAAATATCCCTATGAAAAGCTTTCAGTAGAGTGTTCTGATGCTAAGGTCAGTGAGTTCAGTCACCTAACTTGATTAATATTGCTCCCACTCCCATTCTGAATTCCCCTAACAATTTTTGTGGTTTTACAATCATTCTTTCCAGTTCAGAGAAAAAAAGAAATGTTTTCTGTCCCCTGCCACTGAGTGAAAAACCCTTTTCTTAATGGGAAAATGAGTCAGGTCTTCCCTAGGCAGCAAGATTTTAGTGGGTGGGTCACTCTGCCTGTAAAGGCTTAGTCCCTGGGGAGTCAGCGTGACAGAGCACTTGAACTTACCTGCCCGAGCAGAACTGCTTATGGAGCAGAGGTATGGAAAACAACCAGGTGAATTAGATTCAGCGAGTGTACCAACTGTTTCTGCAGAAGATAAAGGGCAGACCCTGGGAAAGAGAAAAAAACCAGCAAAACAAACAAAACCCTTCCTTCAGCAGCTGCAGAAACAAAAACACAGTACAACGGGGAGGTGCGTTGGGTCATAGCTTTTCTGTGCCACATTCTCTGAGCTTAACTCGAGCACCATGAGAGGAAAACTCCTCCACTTCTTGTAAATAACACAAACTTTTTACAGAGGTGAGGAACTTGTTTGCAGCTACATCCTGGCTCCTCTGGGACTCTCCCGGGCCAAGTCTGGGAATCCCAGGCTCAGCCAAAGGGAAACAGCCGGGTGCAATTACTGACTAGCAGGTGCAGAACAGCATTCAAAACAGGCCAAAAGCTCGTGTTTCAGGTGAGTTGCAAGGTGAGGGAGAAAAGTATTCAGTGTTTTCAGCATTGATTAAAAACTTTGGGTCGCTAGTGTAATTACTAGAGGGTTTTTATGAGTGGTGTTTTGGGTTTTTTTTTAAAGGAGCTGGCCGTAGTCAGGTGGAGGGTAAGTTGGGCATGTTTTGTGGCACTGACCTAATATGCTTTCACCACTGTGAGGACGCCAGATGCGTTGTTACAAACCCCATCTCCTTTTTACCTCTACGTGCTGCAAGTTCTTTGTGGAATGGTCTAAGACTTGCTACAAGTTTTACGACACCTCCTGCAGCTGGGCCCTCGTTGAAATGCATCCCCACCACTAACATGGTTGAAGAATCATCACATTCTTTCTAGAGACATAAAAGTGCTGATTACAGTGAACTCTGTGGCTATTATGCCTGTGTGAAGTCCATGTGTCTTCAATATAAGCACAAGGGTATGTCTAAATGTCATTATTTTCAGACCACTTCTTTTCAATATTTCTCAAATAAAAGGAAAATAAAATATACTTTGCATTATTTCAGTTCTAGTTTGTCTCAACAGGAGAAAAATGCGATGTTTATGATATTGCCGTATTTACTAAGAATGAATACTTTAAGGTTACAATCCTACAAGCACTAAAGTGGCGGACCCACAAGTGAATGTTCTGCCAGATGTTTCTCATGGAAGGGCTTGTAAATGTTCAAGCGCTCACTAAGTGACCAAACTGAAGCCAGGGACAGAGGTAAATGTCAAATGATGAGGGACTGGCCGTATGGGGAATTTAATTGCTTTGTAGGAGGAAAAAAACCTCCCATATAATAATGATGGAGGAATCCATTATTATAACACATATCCAAATACAAGAACAGGCTTTATCAGGATTTAAATATTCCTTCCAGTATAAGGTATAAAGGTACAAACTGTTTATCACCTGTGGGATTTTACTTGTCTAAAATTAACCTGTGAGAGGTGCTCTGATCCTAATACTTGAAAGCACTATCAGGATTTGACCCAATCTCTGGTTCATTAAAGTACCCTCAGCTCTCAGTGATTTGACTGGTCTCAATAAGCCACATTTTCTGTGTATTAAAATGCTATAAGATCACAGAATGTTTCAGAATTACAGTAATAAAATTTGGGATACAGGACCCCACTTCAAATAAATACATGCTCTGCACCATTCCAAAACTTCAGTGCATGCATATTATCACAAAAAAATAAGATATTATTTTTGCTAAAGAAAAAGATTTTTCTACATTTGAGATAACGTTTTTCTTAGTACTGTAGTTATTAAAATTGTCGAGAAGCATGGTGTTATGTCAGGCTTAAACCTGTCACGGACTATACTTGTGCCTTTGAATGCCACCACAGCAAATACAGCCAGGGATAGAAGAGGGGGAACTAAATTCCAACATCCAGAATAAAGCCTGTTGGTGAGACTGTCTTATTTCTGGTGGGACGGTAGACCAGCTCTTTTATTCAGACTGCATTTCCTAAAGAGTGTTACTCTAATTCTCTGTTTTTGATGTAGCTGAAGCGATCGCTTGGTTTTCAATTTGTAGCAACATCTAGTGTTCAAAGTCTGCCCTGCAGACTTCATGCAGCATGCTTTTCATTAACGCCATGCTTTGTATTTCAATAGCACCACCCATCTCATACCACAGAAAATAATTACTCAAACTTGGTAACAGCTCTGCGAAGCAGGCAAGCGTCTTACCTTCTCTTACGGAAAAGATGGAAGAATTAGGGAGAGAAAGAGTTTAACCATTCAAGATAGTTCGGTAGTAGGCAGGACCCGAGTGAGTTGCTCAAGGTCACGCAGAGAGACTGACAAAGTCAGAGCTGCCTACCCTATGCTTTACCTGGAAGAATGCGTCTTTGCCCCAGGAGACGTTTGGATCTAGTTTATCCGAGGGGAGGAAATAGCTCATTGCGTTTCAGAGGTAGTTTCACTGTGTTAGAGGGCAGCAGAAACGTCTGTGAGGCAAGCACAGCTGACATTTTCTCTGTTGAAGAACTCATGTGACGCTTGCTCTCCTAGTGCGTCTGAACGGAAGGATGTGCGTGGGTGAGTTACAGGACCCTTACAGGAACGTGAGAAAGGGTGGTGGGTCACTGCACCCCGTTACAGCAATTGCAAGGCCCCCAAGCAGCCCCTATGGCCTGGACCGCTCTTGCCATCCCGCGGCCCCTCCACCTGCAAAGCCACGAACACATGTATGGCCAGCTGAGGGGCTGGGTGTAACTCTGCACGTGCAGGACAGCCAGAGGCACCCAACGGGAGCCCCTGCCCTGGTCACTCTGGTCCTCTCCAGAGACCCACACCACCAGACTCTGCCTGAGGAAAGCCACCTCAGCACCCGGGTGTGAGAAGGGGCAACGAGGGGGACGTTTAAGCTGGAGCTCCAGCCC